AGGGACTATAATAATTCTATTTCTGTTAACACTAAATGTAACATGTAGATCTGGGCAGTTTTATTTTGGTCATTTTATGTATCAAAAAGTGCTGCTTGGGGGTACTAAAGTTTCTGTGAATGTGGGTTAAATTTTATGACTAATTTGAGGTGGAAAAAAATTGGAAGGTGAAAATTTTTCTTTAAACATTTTTAAAATATACCATTTCAGGTTTTTTGTTTGAAAATGAAATAATTGTTTAAAAATTGCTAAAATATAATTACAAAAATCGCCAAATTAATTTTTCTTTCCTATTTATGATAATTATATATTTTTTTGAAATTGAACTGTGTGGATTAATTTTTTTGTTTATTTAGGTTAGCCCTGCACTGAAAAAAAAAAATTGTACACATAGACACAGACACACACACAGACACACAACACACACACTACATATTAAATCATTCACTGATGAATGCTGGTTAACAATAATGTATGAAATGTATACATTTATAAGCAATAAGATATTTATTTGTTTTCTGCTGTGAATTTCACTGCAGTTACAACCCTTGTAGTGATGTATTACTTAAGAAGTGCCACAAAAACCATAATCTGGCCTATAATAAATAGTGGTTTAAAAATGTATATAGCTATCATATCTTACCTTAAGTATAGTTTTTGCTTTTTTGGGCCATCTATGGTTAAAATATATTCCAAGCGAAACAGGAAGTACAAGGGCCACCAGTGAAATTCCTGCAATATGATTAAATCACATTTATAAAAGAAGAGTTATGATGAGGAAACATACAATAAACAGGCAGAACAAATTTAAATAGCAGGCATCTGTTGTACACATACACATGCGTGCACACATTCTTTACTATGAGTGTATTATCTTTGGCAACCAATTGAGTTAATTGTAATTCTGTTACAAAGTTATGTGCTCACCCACCTGGATTCAAATAGCGTACAGCACTTTCAGCATGTTAATCATTACTATCCTGTGATCTACTTTTTATTTATTGTAGTATTAAATGTTCATTTTGCCTGCAGGTGTTTCTGTTGGAATATAACAGTACCCTGCTTAGAACTTGTTTTGCTGAGGGCATTTTTCCTTGCTATTGATTTTATAAAACATAAACAGGTTTCACGATTATTTTTTGAACTGAAATTAAAAAGTATATAATGGTGACTGTGCTTGTATGGAGAATGAATAAGTTTTGGCAACAGATTTGGATCCTATAACAGTAAGCATTAAAGGCTCAGTACTGGAAAGCATTTAAGTCTGTTCTGAATTCTAAGCGTAGGCATATTCTCAGTGAATTCAAGCAACCATCCGCAATTTCTGGTTTGTAGCAGGGTGAGGTTTCCTGCGTGGAATCAAATTAAGCCATAAGTCAAATTCCTGATGGTGCCTTTCTGTCACTTCCTTTAGATTTCAGGGTTGCAACCATACTCAGTGAGTTTAATTGCACACTTAATTGCAGGCACATGTTTAGAGGGTGTGGGGGAAGATTACTTAATGTCCTTCCCTATAGCCTCAGAGTTCCAGATTTGGCTGAATATTGTCCCCAGTTATAAATTGGTCATTTAGGTTGGGGAGTCAAAGGCAGCCAGACGTAATGTTATTTATATCAAATCCTTGCATCCCATTGGTTACAGAAACATTACTAGTCCCAGGCAGAACTTTGACCCTTTTTTTGTTTACTTTGCTGGGTCATAGTCACAGGACTCACTACTTTGTGGGATTTGTGCCCCCCCCCCCCCCCCCCCC